ACCTAATGAATTTGTCAATTTTATTAAGCGTACAATAGACGGATGCGCTGGCGCAGGTCACGAAGAAGTTAAATAATTATAATTCCGCTATATATATGCGCAATGGAGACGTCGGAGAAAGGCTAAGGAATTAATCGAATATTTTATTGATTCAGGTATTGGTTATAGCTATATATGTTTGTATAGGAAAAAGATTCAGATTAATAATTCATTTTACATAGTTTACATGATTTTTATGTGACGTACTTCAAGTCAACTTTTCTTGCAAATACCAATTACAAGGATAGAGATGACATAGCAGATTTAACTTTGAGAGGCATCCAGTCGTTAAAATAAATTAAAAATATTTTAACTTCTATATTTCGTGTTTAAAACCGTTAAATGTGTTTAATTTATTTGTGTACTAATCGCGTAAACTACAGACAATATTTGAAGGTGTAGGTAAGTTTAAATGAACTAAATTCAAAAGCTTTGAGGAACTTCTCAATTTTTACTTCTGAATAATTTAAACTTTCAAAGTAAAACAAACTTTTTTTAATATATCCAAGTTCTTATGTATTATTGAAGAACAACAAGAAAGAAGGAAATTAAGGACTTATAATTGTAGACTTAGAAAGTAATTAAATTGAACATCATGATACTTTTAAATAAAACACTTTAACGGTTTAAAACGCTATATATATTAGTCAAACTTATGTCCCCTTGACCACGGCTGCTACAAAAATTTCGAAACGTCGGATCGTAGTTCAAATAATTTTCAAATGAGTTTAATTAATTTATATCGCGTTTTAAACCGTTAAAGTGTTTTATTTATATGTTCTACTCGTATAAACTTAAATTAATTTTAATACAAAGCGTTAGAATAAGATTTACTATCTGTAAATCGCGTAAACAGACACAAAATTGTATTTACTGAGTCACCATAGAGACAACTCCCCAAAGAAGGGTTCGAGCGGATATGAGGTGATCCCTCCGGAAGTCGAACCTGCGATCTTATTGTTCGCCTCCACTTGTAAGGGTGTAGAGTAATTACAGTTTAGATATACCGGAAATCGATCTGTTATCGGATGTAGAAGTTAGTGTGAACATGTTCTTAGCTTACAAAAAGAACAAAATATTAGAAAACAAAGAATCCACATTTATATACATACTAGCTGTGCCAGCGACTTCGTCCGCGAGTATCGTTATTTTGGGCATCAACATTAGGTTTTGCAAACCCCGTCATCTTTATAAACTTAAGCTGTTAGCCACGACGTCGTTCGCGTCTCTTCCCGTCGTTCTTGAAAGCTAATCTTAAAAGATAGACCTATAGCGTCGGGGACTTTTTTTTAGATATCACATTTTTACACATTTTTTAGTTATCTTGAACCGTATTCGCAGCGCAACTGAATCCCACAGAGACGAAAAAGTTCCCCCGTTTTGTTCACTTTTCACGCTGTATCTTCGCTTCTAAGAGTCACAGCGCGATGTTTTATAGCCTATATCCTTCCTTGATAAATTTTCTAACCAACACAAAAATAATTTTTCAATTCGAACCCAAACAAACAAACTCTGTAGCTTTATATATAAGATGGCTACTACCTTACTTAAAGGTATTCCCTTCAAATAGAAACTAAGTATGAAATAATATTTTTACTTCGACGTCAGAGACCCTACATCTTTAGTCTCCCCGAGACCACGGCTGCTGCAAAGCATCTGAAACGTCGGACTCTAGTTAGAATAATTCAAATAAGTTTAACTAATATATATCTCGTTTTAAATTGTTTAAGTGTTTTATTAAAAAGTATTAAATATTTTTCACGTTTTATTGCATGGCATTATATAAATTAAAAATATTTTTCTCATTCTAAGAATGAGAAAAATTACGGGCGGGTCTTGAAACGGCATCCACAGCTTTCAGTTCTGTAAACATTACAGCTACCGTCTTCAAGAGCGTTTCAGGGTTGTATCTAGTCCTGCCCGGGTCTTTTATATTGCTCATCTTATATTTCAGCAAGTAAACTAGATATTAATATTATAAATCGCTTTCCATTAAGGAAACCAATATGTAAATTGTTTAAGTAAAGACATCGTTGTTGCTGACTGTAATTTAAGTTTCAATGTTTAGAACGTAAATACAAAGTTATGTCGTGTCTCTATCATAGCCTCTGTGGTATGACTTCGCAGATAAATAGCACCCATACATAGACAATGATCAGTAAAGCTGTGTGCACACTCAGCGACATTACGAAAACAAGAGAGACAAAACTTTTAATCCATTTATTAATTAAATTATTTGCTACACACAGTTTCAAATAAAATACTTCAACGCCTTAAAACGCGAAATGTATTAGTTAACTTCCCTGGTCGAAACGTCGGGCCGTAGATAAAAACATAAACGTAAATAAGTTATCTAATACACTCTATGTTTTAAACCATTTAGAGTGATTTTTTAATGTGTACGAGTCGCGTAAACTCTGTAGTTTACGCACTTACAGTTCCATTAAATGACTCAGGTTTGAATCCTAGGAAAACATAGCGAAATTCTATTAAGAAGAAAGCTAGTCAAAAATTTACCTATAACTAAATTCGACGTGCGAAGTAAACTTTTAAATTTGCCTACCTCTCGGGAACATATGTTACAAGTATATCGTAAGATATACGTAGATGATTTATAAAATAAAACTCAAATAAGAATAGAATCACAATTAATTTTGGAAAAATTAACTAAACTTGAATTTAGTTTATTGCAGGCTTTAGAATTATTAAGAGAGAGTATAGAAGTAGAGTAATTCATTATCGAATATTTAATTTGCAGTTTTCCTAGTCCGGAAAATTTTGGCGGATGTATCGCTAGCCTAAAGTCAGGTGTATTTTCACACGTATCTATGTGGTGTGTTGATGCGGCACGTTGCCATAGCAACCGTCGCAACGAACCAAGAAGCACATCTAAGCTACCAAGCTTTGAAAACCATATAAATTGAATGTTCGTCAATGTTAAGTGCTTTGCTAAAAGGTAGAACCTACGTGGAAGTAAAAATGTAATTAAACAATTTAAATACTTAGTAGTTAACGCGACTAAAAACGTGTATATTAAACGCTTTTATCGGCTTAAACGCGACATATATTTATTATTAGTCAACTATTAACATATGTTTAATTATAACCTGACGTAATCATACTTTGAAACAACCGTAGTCATGGAGGGACATTTTTAATGACCGTTGAAAGGTTTACATTTATATCTAGCTTTTTTCCGCTATTTCAATGTCGAACTTATATTTCTAGTCATTTGGGAGATTAGTGTTGTAGGAGATGAATTTGACATTTTGTCTTCCTATTGATCCACAGTATTACCTAATTTTTTAAATGTACAAAGTAAATATTTGTGTTATTTATTGTTTTATATATTATTCTACACATTGTAATGGACAAACCTACTTTATCAATTACTTTGTATTATAAGAATGCTTACGTTTTTTCTCGTAGATATAACGATGATCTCAAAATTTACTCGTTTTTAAGTAGCCATATAAATAAACATATTAATAATTATTATAATTTTATTAATATATGAATAAATGTATATATATAAGCGTTGTTATAAAACGAGTTTTTTTCTGTTTGTTAGGTATAAGCTTTTATGTCACCTTAACTACGATAGCTATATATTATGTAGCCTAATCAATTAAAATAAGATAATCCTCAGAAACCAGAAGCCGTATAAGTGTAAATGAGATTAACTTGAGAGAAAACCGACTCGTTTTTCATTTGACTAAGCGCTTTGTCACAACTACTAAAGTATTTTAATTATTTAACACTCAAGTACCTTCAAAAATTACGCGCCCTTTCGTGGTAATTTAATATTCTGATTACATACTTTAAATCTAAAAGTTCTAATAAGTTCTATAACCTTTTTTAATTAGTGCTTTTTTAATAATTATTACATATTTTGCTCGGGTCCGTCCATACTAACCAGATGTTTTGACGAGCACGTATAATATGTATACGTGCACGTCAAAACCAGAATCTACAGCAATCCGTGCTGCTGCTCTAACCAATTAAGGTAACCGTTCTTGTCTGTTTCTCATCAATTTTTTTCAACCCCTTGATACTTATATTTAGTAAAAAACAATCGAATTAAACAGAATACACATAAAAGATGTGTCGTGAATTTCGATATCAATTTATCATATATTTATCCAATTCTTGTTATTAATAGCGTGTCAATCATATTTAAATAAATAAAACACATACATCACCTGCGGATTTCATTCAAACTGATTTTTAAACGAGTAACCACCCTTCAATAAACAAATTACCCCACACATGGCATCATTAGTAAGGTCCGTAATGAATAATGATACAATAAATTGAATGTATTATCTACAGCCGTAAAATTACCAAAATTAACTTAAAAAAAGAAAAAAAAAAAAAAAAAAAAAAAAAAAAAAAACCCAAAAACCCCCCCCCCCCCACCCCCCCCCCCCCGCGCCCCCCCCCCCCCCCCCCCCCCCCCCCCCCCCCCCCCCCCCCCCCCCCCCCCCCCCCCCCCCCCCCCCCCAAAAAAAAAAAAAAAAAAAAAAAAAAAAAAAAAAAAACCCTTTTTAAACCAAATTAAAGGGAACTACTCGCGTAAACTATAGACATTTAACGAAACCTGAATGAGTTAGAACAAAAATTTTGTCATAGGAATTTTTAGGCGAAATATGTCCTGTGTTACTTAGATCTGCTTTCCCGTACGTGAAAAATGATTTTGATTTTCTTTAGTCCGTTTGGCTGATTGATTATCTAACTAGGCAACACGTTTATACATAGAGCCTGAGGGGCAGTCTGTGTCTTGTCTATTTGTAAAAAAATTATGACTAAGATCAAGATTCACAAAAAATAATGCTCTGAAGATCTTTTGTACTCGTTATGGTTGAAAATGAGGTGTTTCTCCTTGATTAATACAAAAATATGATAAGAGATATAATTAGTAGATAAATAAAGCAAGAAAAAATAACGCTAAAATAGCCCGTTTATTTAATAGCCAAAGGTTTTTCTAATAGTGGTAAGGGGGCCTGTACCACTAACACCCCCTCTTTAGTTAACGAGGACACCACCCTTTCAGGGTCAACTCCTGGTGGAAGGTGGAACTCGCGACGGTACTCCTTCGGGGTGGTGCTTGTGTCTGTTTTGTACTCGTGGTTCGCTGTCACTTGAAGAAGGTTGTTGATGATGTTCACGTTGACCTGATCAAAGGGATTTAGGAAATCAGAAACAATATAAGGAGAAATAAAGACTATTTTGAAAAATCTCAATGTACATTTTTGCTGTTGCTATTTTGGCGATAGACTAAAAAAAGCGTTTTATTTAATATTTTTAAACTGTCTATTGTTAAAGACAATGTAATCTACGATTTCATTTTTTTTTAATAATCACAAATGCCTTTTGATATTTTTATTTGACTGAATATACTCTACCGAATGAACCTAAAGAATGATGAAAGATGTATTCTTGAAAATGTAAATATTATAATTAACGGCTAATCTATAATAAAGAACCTGGTCAATCAACACTTATAACTAAAATTTAACTTCAATAATATAATGACCTCAGTAGGATCAAATTCGCTCAAATCAAACTGCAGTTTTATCATTCTGTTTTCTCCTTCTCCTTCAATAAGAGGAGAGGTATTAAGGCTTTCCCAATTCAGAGGTTTTCCAGGAGTTTCCTTTGATGTTGTCAAGTTGTCGGTTCCATATAAACCCATTAAGTTTGTACTAAAATGATAAAGACATAGATTTAAATAAATTATTTTAACCCGTGGTATCTTTTTTTATTTAATATCAAGTTTCAAGAGATTTTTATTATATATTTTTGGTTATTTTTCGACAAAAAGGTTATTTAGTACGGATCTATCTAATATTTACAGGTAACAGTCTACCTCAATGTATTTACCTAAATTTGGTCATTTCTTCATCTATCCGTTTCATCTCAGAAACAAATCGATCTTTAATATTTTGCAGTGAATCATTGAAAAGCGGTATATCTGTTATCTCAATCGGAATATTAATATGGGGCTGTAATTGTTTGTCGGACATTTTTGTGACCTTTTGTATGCAATAATTTATCTCACAATATTTTTTTTGGATTTGTAATACGTCTTACATTGTTTGAAATATGAGTGACATTTTGTTTGCTCCTAGAAACGCAAAGGAGGTATAGCATTCAGAACATATAAGCTGCATTCCAGACTAGAAAAAGTATTAAATTTAACGATTATTATAGTTTTAAATTTAAGTTAACTAAATTTATGTAATAGAATATGATATTGGTTTAATACAGTAAATAAGAGAGCAGAATACTATTCCTTATTGTAACATAATATGACATTAAATTATTTCTTTCTTTAAATTACAGAAACTGAGAAGTCATATTTCCTCTTCACCAACTGTGATACAATTAAATAAAACACTTTAAGTTTAAAAGCGATATATTAGTTAAACTTATTTGAAAATGATTTTTAACTTCGGCCCGACATTTCGGATGCTTTGCAGCAGCCGTGGTCACGGGGAGACATTTTCAAATAAGTTTAACTAATATATCGCGTTTTAAACCGTTAAATTGTTTTATTTAAATGTGTACACTCGCGTAAACTATGCGTATAATGTGATACAACTAAAGCCAGTAAGCAGACAGAAATACAATTATCAAATGACCTTTTGAATTCATTATCCGGTGTTCCCAGATAAAACATTTCCCCCGAGATGTGGTATTTACGCGCCCTTTAGCAGATTGACAATCCCCCTCGCGGTGTCATGGCGACCGACGTCTAAACACGGGACTATTAATCTCAAATTGAGGGCGTGGTGGGCCCTCAATGTTTCACATTGATGAATTATGTCTTTTGGAAGTTAAAATACTTTACCGATCGATTTTAAGTAATATGTTTCTGATTAATGAATTATTCACGGTAGACCTTAAGGCAAACGGCTTCTTAAAACGTAACTTATGACGTTTATAACATAATAGTACGTAGTTAACCTATAGTTGAACGAGTTTTATTTTTAACTAGCTGTGTCAGCGACTTCGTCCGCATAGAATAGTTATTTTGAGCATAAAAATTAGTTTTTAGTGTAAATCTCCTCTTCATCTTTATAGATTAAAGCTGTTACCCACGAAGCCGGCCGCGTCCCTTTATTCTTGAAGTAGTTAATCTTAATAGGTAGACACAAAGTTGGACAATTTTCCCCGTTTTCTCTTAATTTCCCGATGTTTATTCGCTCTTATTAGACGCAGCGCGATGTTTTATAGCCTTGATAAATGCTCTAACCAACACAAAAATGATTGGTCAACTCCCACCGGTCGGGTCTAAGATTAGCGCGTTCAAACACACAAACTCTTCAATTGTATATATGTATGTATTAGTAAAGATTGAAGTCTCATTATTTATTATAGAAATGCCTAAATGTTGAAAACATACACGTCTTATTGTTTTTGTCTATGAATCATACTTTAATCTGTAAAATAACCTATATAAACGAAAACATACTCTTAACTTAACATACAATGGTCACCCCACAGAGTGCCACAGACAAGGTGTGGGGGCGCGAATCGAACTCAAATTGGCGGGAAAGCCGTCTGTTTGAGAGTTAATTTTTTATGTAGTTCGAAAATTTTACTGCCATTGTTCCCCAAATCACCAGCTGTCCAGGAAGTTATACCCCTGATTTTGTTATATGTAATATAGATTACGTTAATGAATTAAACATAATAAAATTAGACAGATCATAATAATATGTAATACCACTTCCTTAAAATCGTTCAGTAAGGTTCCAGCGCTTAGTTTAAATAGAGATGTCTCAATATGACTTAATTAATATGACCACAGATTAAGTTACAAGCCAAAGAGTTAAAACGAAACAACAAAAATAAACTACATTATACATTGTAATTCCGTAATAACATAAATTGACTTGAAAGCTGAGTCATTTCACGATCTCAGTCACGAAAGTTATTATGTAAAAAAAAAAACATAAAATTGTCTGCGGCTATAATGAAAGGGCAGTTTTTAATTCCCGTAAAACGAAACGCTATCTCGGGGGAGAGTTGGCAAACATCATTACACGTAACTTTTGTTGGGTCGCGGTACAGTCGTCTACAAACTTTTATTCGAAAATAATGTATTTTTTATTTTACTTTCTACGTAATGCTTTTATTTCTTTGCTTTAATATTTATGTTTTATTAAATAATAACACAGAACGTGGCTAATAATCATAATAAAATAATGTAACATATTTTCAGTTTTTCAATAATTATTGAATTATAAAACAGTAGGAGTAAATATATTTTAGTTTATTAATTTAAAATATAAATGAATATTATATATAATTATGACAGAAAATGCTTCAAATTTTGTAACTGACTGTACAGCGTTCACCTTTTACTTCGGAGCGAGTTATTTGCTAGGTCAATATAATTTGTAGTAACGTCTGAATTAATATTATTTGTTAATAACAGTCGCTATGACAAGTAATATGTCTGAAAACATCGTAAGTTCTGAAAGTCTAATTCTTCCAGAAAAAAAATCGGAAATCCTAATTTCGACTTTTACTCAAAGAATGATGTAAAGCAGACAATTTTTATCAACTTACCGTCAAACAACCCGTTAATTGTACTAACATTTGATTTTGTAACCCACAATATCAAATGTTAGTACAATTAACGGGTCCTGTAACTTGTTTTAGATGATCATTAGTGAAAGCTTCCAGGTGTGTATTAAAATCTATTTGAATAGATTCATAATAAAATAATATTAAATACTCATGAGACATTATTAAACCGTGGTTCAGATCACGTTATTCCCCTCAATTTGCGTCTGCTCCCGCGCAATCAGTAAATTGGTGTACATAAACACAAACACTGCGGCGTAGGGGAGTACGGTACCCCTACTTTTGAATTAAGAACTCTTAACTAACTAAACTCGACTCATTTGGTTTTATTCGATCCAGTACAATGTTTTATAAATCGTCAATTAAATATATAATAAGTAGATTTAATATCTAAATTATTAATTTTATAATTTTGGGCTAGTATTTCAAAGGTTTATAATAGAAAGAAAATCGCACATACATTCTTAAGAAAAATAGCAAATAGCAGAATAATGAAGAAACAAAAGGTTTGAAAGGACATTCGAGTTCCAATAGTAGTGGTCATTTTTACGCAAACTGATTACAGACACGCGACGGCGTGAGATCGTATCGCTTAGCGCTGGGATAAACCAAATAGATTGGAAAAAACCTCGCTACCATTGATTAAATTGTTTAGTAACATGAGCCACATGGGAATCGCTTCCCATTGATCTTCTAATATAACTTTTAGACTCGTCAACGAAGGATCGCTATTGCGTAATATCAAATATTAATCAGTACCTATTTTATAAAGCTGTACGCTTTGTATATTGATTATTTTAGTTTGAATTGAAATTACTGGTTAGGGGTTCTTAAGAAAGGCTCTAAAACACAACAATCTCTCTCACACAACAAGCTCTAAAAAAATGCAACAAAGAAACAGTGGAGAATCTAAAAGAAAACGTGAAAAATTATTCACCTTTGGGTGTTTCCCTTGCCTGCGCTGCAAAAACGTCTTAAAATACTCAAAAGATATAATAAAAGAACAATTCCTCTTTTAACAATCGAAAAAAATGTCCGCGACGTGTCTATCTACTTAGATTTACTCATAAGAAATGATGGTAATCAAATTTTGGTCGCAATACTTAATACGGCTAAATAACGGTTATAAGCAGTTGTGTTTGTATATAATCGATGCATCCGCGAACGTTCAAATTTGTGACTTTTTTATTTGTATAATGAGTTTCAAGAAATAAAACTATATAATCGAAAAAAAATCATCAACTTTTAACAAATCGTAAGTAATAGTTACAATATCACTAATACATTTCTTTACAATACAATAATGCAACGATTTTTACTTAAAACAGCATTGAATCTTTGCATTTACAAAGATATGTATGAACGTATATATCTTAGACTGACCTCATGAATCATTATCGAAATAGCCCTATTGACGCAGATTAATGTAGCGTCAGTGATTAGTAGATCTCATTAACAGCGCGTGCGCAAAGCGATTTATCTCGATATTCACGCCGCACCTTAGTAGGGGTGATTCGATACAGCTTGCCGGCTTTTTGATTAACCATATTTACACTTAGGTGCCTATTTGTATTAATTTGGTATTGATTATTTATATACATTTCTTCGTACGGTAAAAACAAACCTTTTATTTAAAGTACCGTCTGTAGCTTACCGAGACTACAGATTGATATAAAACACTTTTAACGGTTTCAAACGCGACAATATATTAATTAATCTATTCACGATTTATTTTAATTAAGCGCCGACGTTTAGGATGCTTTACAGCAGCTGTGGTCACGAGGGTACGGTGAATTAGAAAGATGGTGAATGTGCCTAATGTCAAATAAAAAAGTTGTTTGTTTCCTTAAGGACACTTATACTAGGTTTCAAATATATTGTTTTTTATATTATATAATGTTTATCTTAAATGAAAATTTATATGTTTGGGAAAAAAAGACCTAGATACGAGCCTACCATCGCTTTTTTGATTGTGGTATTCTTTTCCCGGTAAAATTTATTCGATTTTTTAGGATACAGGTTAGAAAAAAACCTATGATACAGGTACGACACCAACCTATGACCGACGGCTTACCATTGGTATACTTTTGTCAAACTATCTTTAAACATAAGTTTTGAATTTGTACCATATATGAGTAAACCAAATATAATCAATATTAAAAGGTGAGCCAAACAGCATGACAGACAACAGATATAAAACTCAGCGCTCTAATAGTGTTGCCAGCCTATGAAACATTGATAGTATCCAAATGATATTGGTTATCAAACACTGATCATCTATTTATCTTTATTCTAAATGACATTGTTGTATGTTAAACAGACACAAATTAGTTCAAAACTATCTGTCTGTCTGTGTGTCATAAAATATTCCTGTCACACCCTCTCGGCGCAAGCGCACACGATCTCATTGTTTGAGCGCGTGACGCAC